TCTCTGATTGTGCTAGGATTAGCCAATCGTCGAGATAATTTAGTATTCGCACTCCCCGCTGTCTCAGGGGGGAGAGTGCTGCATCCATACATTTCGTAAATGTACGGGGTGCCAGTGACAGGCCGAATGGTAGTACTGTGTACTGGTATGACTGTCCCTCGAAAGCGAATCTCAGAAATGGCCTGTGATGAGGCGCTATTGGAATGTGAAAGTAAGCGTCTTTCAGATCCACTGACAGAAACCAATCCCCCGGGCGAACTTGCGCGAGGATATGCTTGGTTGTTAACATTCTGAACGAGCGAATCATTAAAGCTTTGTTCAGATGTCTGAGATCTAGAATGGGGCGGAGACCGCCATCCTTTTTCGGGACGAGAAAATAGCGGCTGTAAAAACCTGCCTCACTCATAGAGGGAGGGACTGTCTCTATAGCGCCTTTCTCTATCAGTTTGAGCATCTCGGTGCGTAGAACATGTGAAACATCTTTTCTCACTTTCGTCTCTACCACTGCTGTGAAGCGGGGCGGTCTGCGAGCGAATTGAAGCGAGTAACCGTGTTTTATTATGTTCAAAACCCATTTCGGCATGTCGGGGATATTTTCCCAAGCTTTCGCTCGCACAGATATGGGCTGAATGCTGGCCGGGGGCGTGTCGCAGTGACGTATGGCTCCCGCCAGCGAATCGTTCTGTGTTAATACCGAGCTTACAGCTCTCAGCGGCGCGGGCGCGCGCTGAGCAGCTCTGTTGAATGCCGAGTGCAGGGGTGCGTGTGAGATTACAGGCACACTCGCTGTAATGCTCACAGAGTGAGATGGGGAAATGTTTAACACTGTGTGTATAGTGCTTATGGGTGGGGGTGCATAGACTGTGGTAGGCACGCGCACCACTTTCATAAAACTTCCCGCTCGTGGCGGGAGGTTTTTGGCCATATAAACAGTGTTTGTGAGTTGGGGTGCGTGCATGACAGCGGGCACACGCGCTACTCTTATACAACTTCCCGCTTTTACTGGGGAAGTGTTTATAACTGTGGGAACAGTGCTTGTGTGTAGTGGTGCATACGTGACAGTTGGCACACAATCTACATTTATGGTTATGGGGCGTCCAGCTTGAGCTGGGAAAACATTTGGCACTGCGTTGACAGTTTTTATATGTGGGAATGCGCACTTTGGTGTGGACACGTGACCCTTTAATGACACAGGCAGAAAATAGCTCTTTATGTGATTTATGTGTGTCGCCGTAAAAACGGCGTTTGTTTGCAGGTGGGCGAGCTGTGTGGCTGGCACATTGGCTGCTGTATAGACATTTCCAGCCGCCTGTAAGGGGACTGGGTAATGCTTTAAACGTTTTGGAGAGAACGGTCCGGCTCTTGCGAGACACGCGCTCTCCCTTTTTCTCCCTGTAGCTAGGAGGACTTACGAGGCTCTGGGTTCAGCACAATCTTGGGCCGAGGTCCCCGTCGCTCGGGCGGTTGTTTCCTGTTGGCAGAGCACGAGCGGCGTCGAAAATCCGTTTCAGGTTTGGGCTGAGAGACGGGGGGCGCCGTCTTAGCTCGCTGCTGCTGAGGCGGCCGTTGGCGGCTCTGCGATGAGCTAGATCGCTTGGGCAGGAAGTGACGCATAGCCTGTGAGTCCTTACGGGCTTCGGTGAAGCGCTCGGCGAACTCCTTCACCGCTGGTCCAAACAGGCCGCTTTGGGAGATAGGCGCGTCGAGAAATGACGCCTTATCTGCATCCTTCATCTCTGTTAGCGTCAGCCACAGATGGCGCTCAAGGACAGTCAGGTTAGCCATGGCACGGCCGATGGATTGGGCGGTGGCTTTTGTAGCTCGCAGCGCCATGTCAGTGGCGCTGCGTAGGTCCTTAAATGTCTCAGGATCGGGTCCAGACTCGTCCATACTGCGGAGAAGTTTAGCTTGAAACACCTGGAGGACAGCCATAGAGTGAAGCGCTGATGCAGCTTGGCCGGCGGCGGCGTATGCGCGACCGGCGAGAGCTGAAGTAGACCGGCAAGGCTTCGAGGGATGAGAAGCTTTAGCTTTCCATCCAGCGTTGGAGGGTGGACACAGATGATTGGCCACAGCCTCCTCGAGGGGCGGAGTCCCCTCATAGCCTCTTTCTTTCGCGCCGTCCACAGAGGAGAGCGACAAAGAAAAAGAAGGCTTCAGGCGAGCGGAGTGCGGGGCTTTCCATGACTTCGTGAGTTCGTCGTGAACTTCCGGGAAGAAGGGGGAGGGTCTTTGTCGAGGGGCCTGTCGGCGCCGCTGCAGGAACCACTCGTCCAGTCGGCTGCGGGCGGGTTCTTACGGGGAAGACCAATCGAGCCCGAGGTCTTCCACGGCCTTAGATAGAATGCGGACGATCTCCGAGTCCATGCTGGAGCCCGCGCTCGTGCCCGCTAATGTCGATGGCGCGGGGTCGAAGGACGAGCCCGGCCAGTCGTCGGATGCAGCATCACAGGAAAAACTGTCATCCTTATCATCGTCATCCCCTGACGCGCCAAACGAGACGAGCCCCATCGCTCCGCTGGAGGGGTGCTGGTCCGCCTGTGTGAACTGGACTGGCGGCGGGGAGTCTTCGGGTGGTGGTGGTCTTCCGGCGGCCTCTGTGAGCGGCGTTTTTTCTTTTGCGGCTCGACCAGAGGAGATGGGCTCTTTCGCGGTGAAAACGGCGAAGCGAGCGCGCAGCTCGGTGAGGCCCAGGGCGTCACACTCGGGACATCCGCCTCGAGTAAGGGCAGCCTCTGCGTGGTCCGGTCCCAGGCTGCGGGCGCAAATGATGTGACGATCCCCGTCCTGAAGAGGGCCTCGACACGAGGCGCAGGAAGGCATTTGAAACAACGCCTTGTTAAATTTGCTCTTTTAGAAAGTGTCGCGGGGGCGAACACTGATAGCTTTTGAAAGGATATTAGATGATGCGCGCCGGATGGCTTAGCAGAAGGGCGATCGAAGGCGGCTGAAGGCGCCGGCGTCCTCGAAGCAGTCCTGCTGTAGGCCTGTCGACGGCGGCGGCGAAAAGACTCCAACAAATCCGGAGGATCCAGCGAAGAGAAGGTTCTTTGCTGAAGGAGATTAAATCTAAAGAACTCAGACGACGGGGCGCCCAATATATAGCCCTTGGCCACGCCCATCTTGGCGGGCTCTGACGCGCGTGGGCGCGAAGCACGCTCATTGGAAGCGGGTTCAGAGTCGCCCCGTCATTGGTTCGTGCAGTTGCCGCAGCACAGCCAATGACCGAGCTGCCTCGCTCATTGCTGTATGCTGTGCAGCTGCAATGCGTTTTACATAAAGACTTCAATATTTCTCGAGAAAAGGAGTTTTCCCATAGCGTAAGCTTACGCAATAGGAGGAACCTCTCGAAAGGGAACTATAATGGTCTGTTTTTTACAATGTCATTGAACATGTTTTTGCTGTTCTTATAGCATTTACACGGCTTTACCAGCAGATGTCCTCAGCATGCTATGTTTTGTGAAGCTAGTGTAGATCGAATATAATCGACCCAATAATCTAAGTGAATTGATTTCTGAATAAAGTGAATACATTTTGATTTGACGTTGTCAATATAGTGGAATAAAAACAACACCAAGTCTTTTTCACTGAGCACAAAGGAAGCAAGACAATGTTGTCGAAACGAGCACTGGCCACCTGAGGTATTCTTCTCACCATTTATTCAGAGGGTATGAACGACTGTTTTCCATATCCATTTTCTTGTAATTTTTCTGGACCTCGGCGATTAACTTCTCTACAATGTCGTCTGCATTTTAAATGCGCGAGCACTTAAAGGGTTAGTTCACCCAAAAATGAAAATTCTGTCAGTATTTACTCACCCTCATGTTGTTCCAACCCCGTAATACTTTCGTTCATCTTCGGAACACAAATTAAGATATTTTTGATTAAATCTGAGAGCTGGCTCACTCCTCCATAGGCTTCTAGGTAATTGAAACTTGCCGGCCCAGAAAGTTATTAAAGACAATGTTTAAAATAGTCCAAGTGACTACAGTGGCTCAACCATAAGTTTATCAAGCGACGAAAATACTTTTTGTGCAAAAAAAAAAAAAAAAAACGACTTTATTCAACTATTCATTTTCTTCTGTGTGGGCTTCTGACGCGAGTTCACGACAGCGCAACGACGCATGCGCGAGAACTGAGAAGATGACATTCTTTAAATTAGAATGGATTCTGATATATCCTGTCAGTGTTTTATCGTTCAACAGCTGAACAAATATCGTTCTGAAAGTGATCCCAACAATATCGTTTCTCTGTGCCGTTATTCGTTATAGCTGTGGTGTGAACTCTGCTATCCTTTAATATTGAGAACGATTTTTAGAACTACTGTATATCTTTATCGTTATCTTTATAGTTATCGTCCTTGGTGTGAACGGGCTTAAAGGGGTTGGTAGAAAATGCTGCACTAAATGAAAAATAGCAGTTGTCCAGGGCTTCCCAAACTTTGTTGTCAACTAAACCCTATGTGGTTAAAATTACTAACCTTTCAATAGTGAATAACACATCTTGTATAAGATTACATTAAAATATTGTAATTATCTTGTTTTTACACATTTTATGTTATGCGTTTCAGTTTAATTTTGCATGTGCATATCTCAATCTCACGAGCACCATGCAGTTCCATCATGAACCTCTAGGGGTCGCAAACCCTGAGAAACAATTTGGTTTCTTTTGAAACAAGAACACGTGTAAAAAATGTATTAGTCGACGTGTCATCCATCAGAAATACAATGTCACTACTTAAAGATGTTGTAATAAATAAAAAAAATCAGAATACCACACAAACCTTTTTATAATAGATTTGACTTTGTGTTAGTGTTATTTGAGAAAGATGATTTTATCTCCAAATGGTGTAATTACAACATAGCTGGACCATTTTAAGCATCAAAATCAACCCTTAGTTCTGACATGTCTTTGCAGAGTAAGACCAGTTAACACACACACGCACACACACACACACACACACACACACACACACACACACACACAAAAGACATTAAAACAAGTTTTAGGTAAACACTTTATTTTTGGTAGCAAAAACAGCACCTCGGAAAACAGGATACACAATGGGCGGCAACTTTCTTATTTGCCAGAGTACAATGAAATTTAAATCAGAGTCTGTACTAAATAGGCAAACCACATGGATCTACCACTAACATACTAGTAACTTAGAACAAACGCAAATGTATCCCTTCATAGTTAATGTGAAAATCAATTACTTAGCATGTTGAACAATTCAGCTAAATGGCTAGTTCATGTTAGTAGCACATCGAGGATTGTCCAGCCTACAGATGTGGCCATGTTGTGCAAGGTAAGACTTGAAGACATAATTGCTGTGCAGTGGCCTGAGGGCGTGTGTTTTCAGTGATGTGGATTAAGGCACGTCAAGAGCAGTGAGAGTATTTGGTCCCTCTGTAATTCTTTGGGCAGAGTGAATGGTTTATTGCTTTTCAACCTGGTTTATGACTGCATTCCTTGGACCACAGTCATAATGGTTGAGAGGGAAGGTCAGGAATGCATAAGAGGCGTGATGTTTAGAGGACAGAATTGGGGAAGGGTACTCGCTCAATCTTGGACGACCTCAGAGGACTCAGACACAACTTTGCCATCCTTGGTCTCAATCATCTTGATCACAACGCTCTTCTTGGTCTGAGAGATGCTCTCGCTGTAGCCGCTACCAGAGCTGTAGCCGCCACCAGAGCTGTAGCCACCACCAGAGCTGTAGCCACCACCAGAGCTGTATCCGGCACCAGAGCTGTAGCCGCCACCGTATCCACCGGAATAACCGCTAGAATAGTTGCTGTAGCCGCTGCTTGCACTTTCCATGGGATAACCGCCATAGCTTGCTATCGGGAGAGAAACGTGAAGAAGTGAGATGAGGGTCTTCTGCATTTCATATAGTTTTAAGAACTGTGAAAAGGCCAGCATGAAATGTCCATGATACAAGGGCATACCAGAACCCCATGCTGGGCTTTTCAACACAGTTCTCTGTGATAAAGAGTCAAACTTACTGCTCTGTTTTGAGATATTGATTGACTGGATTCCACTTGCCAGCCTGTTGGAAAAGAGTGAACAAGAAGTAATGAAAATCTCACAGAGAATTAGAAATCTGAATTTGATCTCAAAAATAGATTATTAGGTCTTAGAGCACGCATGGATTTGAATAACTCACCTGTCCTCTTCTCCTTCCAGGAGTTTCCTGTAGGTGGCGATTTCAATGTCCAGGGCGAGTTTGACATTCATCAGGTCCTGATATTCCCTGATCTGGCGTGCCATGTCCTGCTTTGCTCTCTGCAGGGCCTCCTCCAGGTCCTTAACGCGGGCCTTGGCGTCTCTCACGGCCAACTCGCCACGTTCCTCCGCCTCTGCGATTTGGTTCTCCAGATTGGCGCGCTATTGAAATGAGAAATTTGTGCTCAGTTGTACTCATAATGTCCGATACCTTACAAAACAAGAAATATTTGACATTTTGTGTTCATGTAGTTGCATACCTGTCCTTTCACGGAATCGATCTCAGACTGCAGTCTCTGAATCATGCGGTTAAGATCAGCGATCTCTGTCTTTGTTGACCTAAGGTCGTCACCGTATTTGGTTGCAGATGACTGCATCTCCTCGTACTGAGAAACGGAACATATGATTATGTGAAATACATTTACTGAACTTCAATATCAACTTGAACCAGACTTTACTGTTTGGATGATGTCTCAAAAGATAACATACCTTGCTCTTGTACCACATCTCAGCCTCAGCCCGGCTTCGGTTTGCGATGTCTTCATACTGAGCGCGGACCTCAGCAACAATGGAGTCCATGTCAAGATTCCTGCTGTTGTCCATCTCCACAACCACTGAGGTGTCCTTAATCTGAGACTGCAGCTCACGGATCTCCTACAAGTCCGCAACGAGAAAAAGTAACGTTATTAATCTGTGTTTTGTCATCTACAAGTGAAAGGTACAGCTGATGGGAAACTCTAGTTGTAATTTACCTCCTCGAAGATCTGCCTGAGGAAGTTGATCTCATCAGTGAGGCTTTCCAGTTTGGCCTCCAGCTCAACCTTATTCATGTAGGCCTCGTCAACATCCTACAAAAAAGCAATCATAATTTAATCATCATTTAAGTTAAAGTTAGTGTTCATGAGTATTAGCAATTGTTTGAACTGCATAACAGACAATCTACGAACCTTCTTGATGAGCACAAACTCGTTCTCACACTCTGTGCGTTTGTTGATCTCATCCTCATATCTGAAGAGAGGTGAAGAAAATGACATTGGTTAAACACATTGTAGTTGAACGTTTTGAACTGTTTATAACGTTTTGTACACTAGGAGGCAGCAGTGCTCCATATTTTTTAGTGAGAAATGCTTAACTTGTCAGGTTTTTCTGGATTCTGTTTTGTGTTTCCCTTGGGTCTTAGCATTAATCGGCCCATCAGATTTGTCTAGAGATCCATGAAAAGTGCTACGTAGATGTTTGTTCAGTAGCTGTAAATCTATCTGACTCGTGCTGACGCCCATTTAATTGCAGTACAGACGTGTTTTTTAAAATGGGATATTCTGTATATTATTGAAATACTTACAATTTGACTCAAAAAGGCTGAACAATGGGCAAGTATACTAGGGAGTGACTGGAGATACTATGCAGTTTCTGTATCAGTTGCATAAGCCATGTTGGATCATGAATTGAGTTTATTCCCATCAGACCTTTAAAACATGTTTTCCCTTTATGGAGCCTCATTTATTCCGGGAACACTTGAGGACACCACAAAAACCTGCTTTGATGATACTTGGGCGCTGTCCATCCCCCAGACCAAACGTCCAGCCAAACTGAAATTGGGCTTTTGTGAAAGCCATTGTACGTACTTGTTTTTGAAGTCCTCAACGAGACCTTGCATGTTGTGAAGGTCAGCCTCCAGCTTCATTTTGTCATTGCCAAGGCTGTCGAGTTGTCTGCGCAGGTTGTTGATGTAGGCCTCGAACATGGCGTCGATGTTGGAGCGCGTGGCTGTCTGGTTGTTAAGGAGGCTCCATTTTGTCTCCAGCATCTTATTCTGTTGCTCCAGGAAACGTACCTAGATTGGCAGGATGAGAATAGAGGTTTTGTCTCAATCAAGACGCAAATGAAAACCATACTTGGAAGTAAGCACAGCTTCAGAGAGCAGAGAGTCAGTTTTGGAATCATGGTTCTGTGCCAGCTCACAGAAGTGCAACCATATGCCAACATATTGCTTGTGGTTCAGTGATCTTCACAAAGGAAAGCACTGTTTTCCTTAAATAACGAGAGATGCATGTGTTTTCAGTTTGTAATGCTTTTTTCCCTTGGAAACTGTGACGCATATTCCAGTAGGACATCAGGAAGGACTACAGCCTATCCTGTAGAATGTACTTTTGGGAGTTTGAGATAGAACTATATTAAAGGTTTAATCTACATAGTTAATAATTAAGGGACAGCAGAAAGAGACCAGTTCAGATCTGCTGGAGACCCTTAAAAGAGTGTGTAGATGGTAAGCAGAGAGCAATTCAATGATAAGACTAACAGCTTGAGGTGAACATTGCACACACAACTAGGTTACAGTAAAGGTGTCACTGAGACAGCTGACATTAATGGGTCTTATTCAAAACATCAGTGTTTTAATCAAATAATATAATGCAAAGCAGACTATTTTAGTTAAGAGGAAGGGCACAAAGACTTAAAGGCTTTAAAGTGTTGCAGAATATTTCCTCTTCTCATTGTTACGTAACCTTTCTCGCGCTATCAAGAACATGACCCCAGCTCTTCAAATTAAATATTAACTATCATGGTATGCGACTCTCTTTTCTTATATTTGATTAAATTCAGATTGTGTTTGCAAAAGTGTCTGCCTTAAATTTTTAAGTACAATCAACTTGGAAGTTTGTCATTTTAACATTAAACTGACTTTAAAAAATCTTGTATAACTTATAAAAAAAGTTGAAAATTGCTTAACTTATTTTGATGAGTTAAAGCAATTTAAAAACATTTGTTGTCATAACTTATTCATCATTATATATTTTTTACAGTGAATACATCATCATTTGTAATAATTAAACTATGTTAATATGTATAACAAGTTTCATGTCCCGCAGGACGTCCTTATTTGGGTGTGGACTGTCCACAAGGGTTTAGGAAGAGCCTCAGGCCATCTCATTCAAATGAAAAACCATCTCACTCTGACCATGAACACACCCTTTTCTCATCTTTCCATTAGTCTCATTTCTTCCCCTTTGATAAGAATGTATCCAACCCCACTCAGTTTCATCCCCCTTTGACACTTTTCTGGCCATTGACACTTTTCTGGCCATTTTCTGTGAGTTATTACAACCTTTAGTTTGACTCGTGCTCTAAAACCTCACATCTGGGAATTCTTTGACTAGTAAAAGTACAAAGCAAGAAACTTTAAACCCACCTTATCAATGAAGGAAGCGAACCGGTTGTTGAGGGTCTTGATTTGCTCTTTCTCCTGGTTGCGGACAATCTGGATGTTGGGGTCGATCTCCAGGTTCAGAGGTGTCAGGAGGCTCTTGTTGACGGTGACTGCTTGAATGGGTGCCATGGAGCCAGAACCCATACCCATTCCCATTCCCATGCCAAGCCCATAGGCTGAAGAGCTGCTTATGAAGCCACCACCTCCCATTCCAGCTCCCATGCCACGATTGCCACCTCCATAGGAGCTGCGCACACTGTAGCTCTGTCGGCTGGCGCTGGGGCCAGAGTAAGACATGCTGCTGAAGCTGCGTGGGACAGATCCAGAGGAAGAAGACTTCACAGAGTAGCTAGTTTTCTTGGTGAACGACATCCTGCTGATGTGTTTTCTGTCTTGTACTGGTAGAGAATGAGCTGGAGCGAAAGCAGAAGATGTGAGCCTTGTCTGCTGTGCTGGAGAAACTCGAGCAGATAGAGGGAGCAGCCGGCTCTGCCTCCCACTATATGGGCTGCTGAGTGGGAGGGGCCAAACTGGCTCAGACTGGCCAGTCACTAGCAGGTGGGTGTGGGCTGAAATTCAATACTCGTATGCCTACATTCCTAGTATCCAGTAAATGGATGTAGTGGTAATTCACTATGACTAAAACCAGATATTTTTAGTCATACTGGGAATATTAAGGGCTTAAAAAATAAAATTGCTTCTTTTTCTTTGTATTATTTGTTTTGTAAAAGAATGGGTCACTTTAATAAAAGCCAAAATACAGAGTTTAAATGCACAATAATATGTCAATAATATTAAACATTAGTACTGAAGTGCTTTAATGCAACACCAGGATCTACAAGGCAATGTGTCGCACTGAAATAGCTTGCATCTGGATTTGCCTATACAAATAAGACATCTGGAAGGCTTAGAATTTCACTGTAGTCCTGTGACAGCTGACATGTTTTATCTCTCAGCACTGGAAGCTGTACAAAGTGGAGAATGTGACATCCAGCTGTGCTTTAGCATTACCTACAGCACCCAACTCACTTGTGATCTATATGATATTATTTATACAGTATACCTTATAGACTTGAGGTACCAACATGAAATTGAAATATTGCAATTTGAACATAAACATGAAAAAGTTGATGGTGGAAATGAATGTTACATACTGTAATTCTTGACAACCATAATTACAAGCAAATTAATTATGGTTTACTAGTTGAAACTGTCTCACATCATGGAAGGCCACCTACAGTTTCTCAGTTTGAGGAAGGCAATTATCGTCAGGTTTTAAAATCTACCCCCTAAGGTCCTGAAGCCCTCTGGAATCCAGAGATCTCCTAAAGCCAACCAGGTTTATGGTCATGCTGCATTTATGGTTAAATAGCCCAAGGCTTGTTTTTTAAAACATGGCTTAACGTTTAGGAAGTTCTACATTGAGCTTGCGTTTTGGCAAGTACTGTGCTATTTTATGATACTAAGGAAGCCATAAGATAAGGTTGGGCATTCACAAGTTTTAGTTTTTGTTTATGTGGGTTTAAAACGCCAGTTTCTGTGTATGGCTAAAGATTTGCACTGTACCTTTGCAGTTATGTATGACTTTTTCTGTTATGTCTTGTCTTCGTTTTAGCCATTGGATATTCAAAAGCTTCTACATGACCACACCAAAGCACTGAATTCTCTAAGCATTACAGTATCTGCTTAAACAAACTGGATCTGCCTTGACCTGTTCCTCCAGCACAGTCCTTTCCATTGACCACACTGATTTCATCACCAGGTGTTTCTATGGTTGGGTCATCAGGCGTGGCATGTGCTGTTACATTTAAAAGGCCTCATTATTGAAGTCAATAATGTTAATTAAGTCAGATAACAACTTCAACCTCCTGAGCGGTATCTGTTAATAGGGAAGGACCTACTGTATTGCACGTGTCAATTGTTTTCTTTCTGAGTCACTAAAATCTTGGCACCTTAAACAATGTCTGCTGTCTTTCATTGCTGGATAATACTTAATACTAGAGCATGGAGAAAAGTTACTGATTTAATCGTCAGTATCTTGAGATCCCCTTTACTTTCATCTTCTTCACTGGTTTTCAGTCACGGAGTCATGATATCTGTAGGCGCTGGCCTTTCCTAAGACTACAGAATCCCGGCTATTGTTTTTGAGAGGAACCAGGGAAAACCTGATCAGGCTCACTTTTTCCATGCAGATATAATACAGCCTTCTTTTCAGACACGCTCCGATAATAATTGTGCACCACACCATATCCAAGCAATCAACAAGAAGACCTTTATTTATTATTTTCTTTTACTTTTATCATATCATTATATCATTTTACTTTTTAAAAGTGGTTTATTTACGTTCCTTAACTACGACAGCCCTGCAGGGAGCATTCATGCTGTAATTCCACATACTGTGATATTTCTGTAAGACACATTCTGCATGTGCCTATGACTCACTCGTGTGCCTATGACTGCCCAGAGAGTGAAAATGGGCCTTAGAATTACAACTATTTTTCTCTGTAATTCACAACGTGATACATCTTTTGACTTCAACTCTTCTGAATTAACGCAATGTGGACCACAGCTAGTAGTTAGTAGTGGAATGTTTTCTAACATTCTCCAAAACAGGTCAAAAACAGGTGTGTCTGTTCTGTTTTTGACTCTCCCAGGACATTTTGCTGCCATTCCCTGTATCTTATCTCACAATCAACATGAAAACAAAACCTAGCTCAAAGTTATGACTCTGCAAGTCTCTGCCCTGATGATTGCTTAATTATAAGATTCCTCAGTTTATGCAGTTACAGTGACAGAGGATGACACATTTTGTGACAGCCAGAAAGAAAACTGATTTAATGTCACATAGTGATCATGCTGATCTTTCCTCTTGACTCTTGTGTACAACTAATGGGGCCATCTTGCCCAACTTCTTCATGCTGGGAGTGAATAAGAAATGAAGCTTTTAATTTCATAATGCACATTCTTTCTGCACAGCTTAGATGAATTAAGAGTCGGTTATGAATTATCCCAATTGAGGGTTTCATCATAGATTGCAACCTGATATTCCTGCTGTACATGTGTCTAAAATCTAATTGAATCACTCGAATCTGATCACATCAAGTGTCTGATACTGTCAGAATCAGCTGAGCTGTGAATGAAGGTGGCCTTTTGACCGTCACTTCACACCCCAGCAGAGAACTATTAATACAATGTGAACTTTGTATTGTGAGAAACAGATATTTTTTTTTCCTTTGAAGGTTCAGGTTTCAACGTTGCTTAATGCTTTCTTGTGTTGTGCTTAACTGGTAAACGGTTTCATACGTTCAGCACATACTTTGTTTAGATTATCTTGTGAAATCAGAGACACCCCCCCACTACACCCAAAACACACACTCAAATGCGGCTTGCTCATTGATCACTCCCTCAGGGTGTGTCATACTAGATTTCATGCTAAAATACTGACTCGTGTCGAATGCGGGCAACAGGATATGATGTCACTTTCTATTTTATTAAATATTAATAAACACAACTGGGGCCAGTTGCATATACCTCTAAGACTGGTCTTGCAAGTTAGACAACAATTGTTTTTCTTTAAGATAGCTTTTTAAAATCAGTTACATTAAAACGTAGATTGGCCTTACCGGAAAAATAAGACATAAAAGAGGTCATATTAGAATTTAAGACACTATCTTAACATAATGGCTATGTTTTTGCAACTGGCCCCTTTCAATATTGATAATAATAAGAGATGTTTCTTGGGCAGCAAATCAGCAAATTAGAATCATTTCTAAAGAGTCATGTAGCACTGGAGTAACGACTGCAGACAATTACCTTTTAAAATATATTCAAATAGAAAGCAGTGATATTAAATTGTTTTTACTGTATTTTTTTATCAAATATGTCACCCGTGTGAGCATAAGATACTTATTTAAAAAAAAAATGAAGACGAATTTTTTTTACAGACCCCATATTGTTTATTGGTAGTGTAAATATACAAATTTGTAGGTCAGAGTTCACCAAACTTAAACCAGTTTCATGCTTCATGCATCCAGGCTTTCAACATTAAAAAAAATGGAAATATTGATATTTTCAAGGAAATAATTTAATTTCAAATGTATTCAATACATTTTTTTCATTACAAAAGAAAACATACAACAAGCTAGAATATACGCAGCTGTAACTCAATAAATCCATAAGTGCATTTTTGCTGGAAAATGATTGCATACAATGAAAAATATTTTTTCTTGGTTTGATGTTTTCAGTACATTCAAACATGAGCATTTAAGATAACCAGTCACTTATGACAGATCTGTCAGCTGGCCCCAAACACTCTGACAATGGGCCCGGGCCAGCGGGACACACGCTTGCATGAGTATGAATAGAAGTCAATGGACACAAAGTCTGGTGTGGCCACACCTTCACTCGACGTTGAACAGTTTGTAGATAAAAACTTAGTCAGGCTTTGAATTCGTACAAGAGATATCCCAAATGTCTTAAGATGATAAAGACATTATAAAAAATCCCAAACACTTGGATCTGGGATTTTTTCAGACAACCTCCAATCTCAATGAGTCTAAACAATTACAGCACAAAATATCTGCAGAATTTGTACAAAAGCTGCAATCTGACAGGACTGAGAAAGAAGTGTGGCATTCCTCAGAGGGGAAATATTCTGTGGCTTTCAGTGGTTAGTTTTTTTTTTTTCATACCATATGTCTCTTCAGAACTTCCCCAATGGCTGCCTGACCAGAAGCCACACCCCTCGCTGTCATGGCAACAGGGTTACCACCGATCAAACACTACTGACACATATTTACAAGTTTCCGTTGGCCTCTGCTACATGGCGATTGGTTGTTGAAAGTTTGATGAGTTACCATAGAGACCTTTGAAGAAACATTATGATTACTAGCAAGCTTATCATCAAGCAAAATATGTCTGGGAAATGAGTAGTTTGGTAAAAGTTTATTACAAGAATGAGTGTGGATTACATGCTTAGATGAACATACATATATACAAGATAAACATTGTAAAACAACTAAACGTACCCTGAAAAACAAAGTGGAAGTTACTTGGAAGTTGATTCATTCTTTCTTTCTTTCTTTTCTCTAGAGCAGTCTTTTTGTAAAACTGCGGTTGCACTTTATTTTACAGTACGTGTACTTACAGAGCACTTACTGTACCTAAGACAGTATTGGGTAATATAAGGTAACTACATGGGCTACAGTTAGGTTTACCGGTGGTTCCGGGTTAGTACCTAGTTATTACCCAGTTATTGTAATAATTATCATATGTATGTTATGAACATGGGGGACAGGACTGTAAAATAAAGTGGTACCAAAACTGCATGTGCATATTTTCATGGGTATGTGTGGTAAAGTGTGTTTTCACACTGAGGGGGAAGTTACTTCAAGGACTCAAGCCATAAATCTCTCACCTTGAATGTACTCTGGTAGAAATGACAGGAAGGTGTGCATGTAACACAAACTGCTAAAAAGCATATGTAT